GGGGTTGTTTTTCAGGGGGGGACCCATGGCCCCTCAAAAACCCCCCCCCAAAAAAAAAGCCCCCCATGGGGGGGGTGCCAAAGACCCCAACCCTTGGGGGGGAAAAGTCCCATTTTCCCCGTTTCCCCTTGTTGATCCCCCCCCCCCGAAGGCCAATGGGTATTGGTTCTTTGGGAAAAAACTTTTTTTTTTTTGGGGGGGGGGGGTCAAAGGTTTAACCCCAAAGGCCATCAAAACAAAAGGATTACCCCCCCCCCCCCCCCCCCGTTTTTTTGCCACAGGCCCCCTTTCCCACACACACCCAAAGGGGCCCCACCCTCCTGGGCAAATTCCAAAAATTCCCTTTGGGTTTTTTTGGGGGGGATTTATTCCCACCCGGATCCCCTGGGGGGGTCCCATTTTTTCTTCAAAAGACCCAGGGGGGAGGGGGGGGAGGGGGAGGGGAAATTGGGGGGGTTTTTGGGGGATTATTTTTTTTGGGAACCCAGGGTGAGAGGGGGGGGGGGGGGGGGGCGAGACAACAAATAGTGTTGAGCTTCTTTTTTTTTTTGTCGCGTTTTTCCTTCCCACCAAAGTTGGTTGGTTGCTCCATGTTGCCTGGTTTGTTCGTTGTGATGTGTTGGGTTTATTCATATAATTGTATTTTGTCGTTGTGATGTGTTGGGTTTATTAATATAGGAGTATTTTGTTCTTGTGGTATTGTTTTTTTTGCAAGTGGATTGTTTTTTTGTGCAATGGCGCTCGTGTTTTTTTTTTTCGGCAGCACGTATGTAGGTGTGAACGGTTCGTACGCAACTGCCATGTTGCCGTTCTGACGCGCTTCCACGGCACGTGGTATGCTTTCGTCGTCGTGCAAGGTGTTGTAGCGGGCAACACTTTGAGTTGTCTGCTGTGAGGTTAGGCCCCCAACAAAGGAAGGAGCATGCGAGTGAAATCTAAATACACCGTACGATTGGTTTTCTTGCGAGCGAGCACTTGGAGAAAGCGTGATTATTGGGTAACAATCATATGTTCGAACCCCCCCTCCCGCCCGCTGGACGCACTGGACTCTTGTAGGTGCGGTACCAGAAACTGGCCCCTTCCATTATCCTGTGGCAGGAGGCGGGTGTTGAGGTGACTGTCTCGAGGTATGTCGAACTCCGACATGAGGGTATCGTATCCCCTTGTTGTTGCCTTACTGCTGCGGTTGGTGTTGTTTTGTTTGGCATGTTGCCGTTGTTTTTTTTTTTTTTTGTCGCGGTCGTTGTCCCAGCGACAAACCGCCGCTGTCGCCTCCTTGATGGAGAGTGGCAGACAACACAGACAGGCAGGAAGGCAGAGAGATGGATGGCATCCAAATATGACCGAGAAGAGCGAGATAGAGTCCGTGTCTTCCCGCGCGATGCGACCAGACTGCCCTGATAGGGTCATTCATGTTCGCAACCGCAAATGCGTAGCATCGTAACATGTGTCGCGTGGATAGGAACCCTCTTGAAACTTTCTGCCCCCGCCCCGCTCACCACTCATCCAAAAGTTTGCTCTGCAGTAGATGATTTTTTACCATTTTCTCATCACCATTCTCGATCGTCGCTCCTCCCCCCCCCTCTCTCTTTCTCGGTCTCCTGTGACCTTTTTTTTTCTTGTCTCTGGTTGCGATGAAGACGTCGGAGGCTTCAGGGAGAAACGCGACAGGATGAGACGCTAGCGGAGGGGGTGGAGGTGGTGGAGGAGGAGGAGGAGCAAGAAGGGGAGACGCGAAGGCTGCAGCAGGAGTTGGACGGCGGGCAGTTCTGTGCGCTTACGGTGTCGGGCGGGACTGTGTCGTTTGCGGACCCTGCCTGTGTTCCCGTCGCGCCGGTGAGATACACAAGAGATATGAGATTCAAGACGCGCACAGAGAGAGAGCGAGATTACACACACACACACAGACATCGGCCGAAATGTGTTACTGTGGTGCCGGTGAGAGGTAGAGAGGTAGGAGTGCTGTATGACACAGGAGAGCGAGAGATAGGACACACATACAAGAGATCAGGCAATATGTGCTCCTGTCGCGCAGTCGAGAGAGATGGAGATAAGACACAGAGAGAGATGGACAGACAGCGTAGGACGGAGATACACAGGCAGACAAGACAGAAGCAGGCCGCCAGGTGGTTTCATCGTGTGGTGTGTATGGGGTATGGTATGGTATGGTATGCGGAAAGGCCGACGCCTGCAGCCAACCGACAACTGTGCCAGAAAGTTGGCTGTTCTCTTGGCCGCATGTAGGCCACCACCTACAGCGCGCGCGCATGTGAACAACCCGGTTCCCCCTACCCGCCACCGTTTACCAACCGGCCTCAAACCTTATTCTTGTTTGCCCTGCCCTCCTTCCCTAGATCAACCCTACAACTCCATCGACTTACCAGCAGTGTATATCCCCCACCCAACGTTACCGCTTCCTTTCTCCCCTACCCTGCTAGCTCCACCAACTTGTCTGCAACAACTCCCTTCCCCAGCCCCGCT